AAACAAACAAACAAACAAAAAAATTAGCCGAGCGTGGTTGCATGTGCCTGTAAACCCAGCTACTCGGGAGACTGAGACAGGAGAATCGCTTGAACCCAGGAGGCAGAGGTTACAGTGAGCCGAGATTGCCCCATTGCTCTCCGGCCTGGGCCACAAGAGCAAAACTCCATCTCAAAAAAAAAAAAAAAAAATAGACAGACATGCTGGCATGCTCCTGTGATTCCCAGCTACTCTGGAGGCTAAGGTGGGAGGATCACTTGAGCCTGGGAGGTCGAGGTTGCAGTGAGCCATGATTGTACCATTGCACTCCAGCCTGGACAACAGAGTGAGACCCTGTCTCAAAAACAAAACAAAACAAAACAAAAAATTCAAAATAATAATAACTCAAGCACTTACTATGTGACAGACACTGTTCTAAGTTATTCCAGGTATGAATGTGTTTTTTTACAACTAGTGGCCTCCGAGAGCTCTCCGAGGCCTACAGTTTGGAAATTATTATACCCCCCTTTCCAGATACGGAAACTGAGATTATAGATAGGGACAAGAATCCTGATTCTGGGACTCAAACTTTTTCCTAAAAGCCTACTGAGCTTGGAGTCCACACCCCAGGAATCCGGTCCGTGTCTGCTTCTCTCTGAGCCTTGGTTTACTCTTTGGAGGAGACAGGGTGGTTGGTGAAACGGCCTGGCCTTCTGGGAGCCCAGAGCCTTATCGAGGCAGCTGGAAACATCCCCTGGAGTCTGTCCCGAATGTCCTGCCAGTGGGGCTTGATAAACATCTGATGAGAGGTGGCTGAGACTGCAAAAGCGTAGATCTCAGATTGCTCCCCTCTGCAGTGACTGCAGGGCAGAGCAGTTTCCACTGGGTCAGGGTATATGTGTACTGACAATCATTCGGATATTTTCTTGTTTTTGAGACAGCCAGGCTGGAGTGCAGTGGCACGATCTTGGCTCACTACAATCTCCACCTCCTGGGTTCAAGCCATTCTCCTGCCTCAGCCACCCGAGCAGCTGGGTGGCATGCGCCACCATGCCTGGCTAATTTTTTTTGTGTTTTTTTTTTTTAAGTCAAGACAGGGTTTCTCCATGTTGGCCAGGCTGGTCTCGGACTCCTGACCTCAAGTGATGCACCTGCCTCGGCCTCCCAAAGTGCTGAGATTACAGGCGTGAGCCACCGTGTTTGGCCCATTCAGATATTTTCTGAACATCTGTGACATAGGGCTGGGGACCCAGTGCTGACCATGACAGCATCCACCTGCCCTCCTGGGGCATACAGTCTAGCATGGGAACAGACTCGTTGAGAGTGACAACCCAGAGTGTGCAAGGCTGGGATGGGGAATCCACAGGGATGGGGCTGACCCAGCCTGGGGTCATGGAGGGCTTCCTGGAGGAGGAGATACAGAAATGAAAAGAACAGCCCAATCTCAGCCACCATGGAACTCACAGTCTTATCGGGGAATATGAGCAGTTAACAAATAAACCAGATAACTATCAGCCTGGGCAGCAAAGCGAGATCCCATCTCTACAACAATTTTTTTAAAAATTAGCCAGGCAGGCTGGGTGTAGTGGCTCATGCCTATAATCCCAGCACTTTAGGAGGCCAAGACAAGTGGATTGCTTGAGCCCAGGAGTTTGAGACCAGCCTGGGCAACATGGCGAGACTGCATCTTTACAAAAAATATATAAAAAATTAGCTGGGCATGGTGGTGCATGCCTGTAGTCTCACCTATTTGGGAAGCGGAGGCAGGAGGATCACTTAAGCCCAGCAGATTGAGGTTGCCTCTTCTGTCGTTTATAAGGACACTTGTGATCGGATTTAGGGGTCACTCTGATAATCCAGGATGATCTCATCTTGAGATCTATAATTATATCTGCAAAGACCCATTTTCCTTGTAAGGTCACATTTGCAAGTTGAGGGGATTAAGAAACAGACACAGGCTGGGCTCAGTGGCTCACACCTAGAATCCCAGCACTTTGGGAGGCCGAGGCGGGCGGATCACCTGAGGTCAGGAGTTCGAGACCAGCCTGACCAATATGGAGAAATACTGTCTCTACTAAAAATACAAAATTAGGCAGTCATGGTGGCGCATACCTGTAATCCCAGCTACTTGGGAGGCTGAGGCAGGAGAATCTCTTGAACCCAGAAGGCGGAGGTTGCCGTGAGCCGAGACCATGCCATTGCCCTCCAGGCTGGGCAACAAGAATGAAACTCCATATCAAAAAAACAAAGGAAACAGATATGTTTTTTTTGGAGTGGGAGGCCCACTACAGGGGTGAGAGTGGAAACGGAAAAACCTCATTCCAATGAGCTTGTTGAGTCTGGTCCTCAGCCAGTGTGTGTGATGCAAAATACATTCCTTGGCCGTGCGCCAGTGGCTCATGCCTCTAATTCCAGCACTTTGGGAAACCAAGGTGGGTGGATCACCTGAGGTCAGGAGTTGGAGACCACCCTGACCAATATGGTAAAACTCCATCTCTATTAAAAATACAAAAATTAGCCTGGCATGGTGGCATGTGCCTGTAGTCCCAGCTACTTGGGAGGCTGAGACAGGAAAATTGCTTGAACCCGGGAGGCGGAGGTTGCAGTGAGCTGGGATCATGCCACTGCACTCCAGCCTGGGCGACAGACTCCATCTTAAAAAATCAAAACAGGCCGGGTGTGGTGGCGCACACCTGTAATCCCAGCACTTTGGGAGGCCGAGGCGGGCACATCATGAGGTCAGCAGATCGAGACCATCCTGGCCAACATGGGGAAACCCCGTCTCTACTAAAAATATAAAAATTAGCTGCGCTTGGTGGCGTGTGTCTGTAATCCCAGATACTCAGGAGGCTGAGGCAGGAGAATCGCTTGAACCAGGGAGTCGGAGGTTGCAATGAGCTGAGATTGTGCCACTTTTCAAGAAAAAAGAAAAAAATAAATAAATAAAAAGAAAACAAACAACAAGAACAAAAAGACACATTCCTTAACCGACCCCTGGGTGGCTCCAGCTATGGCTACCGTGGCCGAGACTGCCGGGCCAATCTTTATTTGCTGCCCACCGGGGAGATAGTGTACTTTGTGGCCTCCGTGGCTGTGCTATACAGCGTGGAGGAGCAGAGGCAGCGACACTACCTGGGACACAACGATGACATCAAATGGTGAGATGTGGGAGGGAGGGGACGGGAGGGAGCTGTGGCCGGAGGTGGAGCTCCAGCCCCTGCCTCTCTAGGCCTCTTTTCACATTGCCGCCCTGTGGGGTTTGGGGCGAGGCCAAGACTTTGCTCCCTCTCCAAAGCCACCAGCTGCCCTCAGGCTGAATTCAGTGGGAAAATGTGGATTGAATATCAGTATTTCAATATTTCAGATGTTTTAGTTGGGTGTGGTGGTGAGCCCCTGTGGTCCCAGCTACTCGGGAGGCTGAAGCGAGAGGATCATTTGAACTCAGGAGGTCGAGGCTGCAGTGAGCTGTGATTGAGCCACTGCACTCCAGCCTGGGTGAAAGAGCAAGCCTTATCTCAGAAAAAATTCAGACAGTGAATTCACTCAATTCCTGGATCTTTCCCTTCTTTTGAAAATCTGGGGCTGGGCCCAGTGGCTCACACCTGTAATCCTAGCACTTTGGGAGGCCGAGGCGGGTGGATCACGAGGTCAGGAGATCGGGACCATCTTGGCTAACACGGTGAAACCCCGTCTCTACTAAAATCACACAAAAAAATTAGCCAGGCATGGTGGCGGGCACCTGTAGTCCCAGCTGCTCGGGAGACTGAGGCAGGACAATGGCGTGACCCCAGGAGGCAGAGCTTGCAGTGAGCCGAGATCTGAGCCACTGCACTCCAGCCTGGGTGAAAGAGCAAGCCTTATCTCAGAAAAAATTCAGACAGTGAATTCACTCAATTCCTGGATCTTTCCCTTCTTTTGAAAATCTGGGGCTGGGCCCAGTGGCTCACACCTGTAATCCTAGCACTTTGGGAGGCCGAGGCGGGTGGATCACGAGGTCAGGAGATCGGGACCATCTTGGCTAACACGGTGAAACCCCGTCTCTACTAAAATCACACAATACAAAAAACTAGCCGGACGTGGTGATGGGCGCCTGTAGTCCCAGCTACTCGGGAGGCTGAGGCAGGAGAATGGCGTAAACCCAGGAGGCGGAGCTTGCAGTGAGCTGAGATCCGGCCACTGCACTCCAGCCTGGGCGACAGAGCGAGACTCTGTCTCAAAAAGAAAAGAAAAGAAAATCTGGGCAGCGAGGTGGCTCACACCTGTAAAACCAGCACTTTGGGAGGCCAAGGCGGAAGGATCGCTGAAGCCCAGGGGTTGGAGGCTGCAGTCAGCTATGATCCTGCCACTGCACTCTAGCCTGGGAGACAGAGCGAGACTCCATCTTTTTTTTTTTTTTGAGAACTAGTCTCACTCCGTCTCCCAGGCTGGAGTCTAGTGGCACTATCTCCACTCATTGCAACCTCTGCCTTCTCGGTTCAAGCGATTCTCCTGCCTCAGCCTCCTGAGTAGCTGGAACTACAGGTGCCCGCCACCACGCCCCGCTAATTTTTGTACTTTTAGTAGAGACAGGGTTTCCCCATGTTGGCCAGGCAGATCTTGAAGTCCTGACCTCAGGTGATCCGCCCGCCTTGGCCTCCCAAAGTGCTGGGAGACTCCGTCTCTAAAAAACAAAAACAAAAACAAAAAAACTGAATAGGCATTCCAGACAATTCCTCGTGGTTGGAGCTGGGTGGTGTAATCCCCCTTAAATCAGTGTGCTCTCCTGGCCGCTATTTGAAGTACAGACCTGCGTCCTGCTGGCGTTTGAGTTACAGACCCCAGGCCTAAGTCTTGCTGCTGAGCCAGCGTACCCGGAGGGCATCCGCTTACGGCTATTAATGGACTAAATACACGTTTATTGACTAAACTGAACCAGCCAATTTGTGGAATGAATGTCCTGGGCCTCCTCTTTCCCACTGAGCCTTGGTCTGTCTGTCCCTTTCTGCAGCTTGGCCATCCACCCGGATATGGTCACCATCGCCACGGGACAGGTGGCGGGCACCACTAAGGAAGGGAAGGTAATGGAAGGGAGGGGAAAGCCGAAAAGAGTGCAGGACGCAGTTGTGGGGGACAAGCAGCTGGTCCCCTCAAGATAACAAGCCTCTCTTCCCTGCAGCCGCTGCCACCCCACGTGCGCATCTGGGACTCAGTTTCCCTCTCCACCTTACACGTGCTGGGCTTGGGGGTGTTTGACAGAGCCGTGTGCTGTGTAGGCTTCTCCAAATCTGTAAGTCCTTCGCCCACCCTAACCCCGCCCCCTCGCCCCCAAAAGGAGGGCAAGTGCCCGCACCTTTTCACGCGTCCCTTGAGTTAAGAGCTAGGAATTCTACTGGAGGCGTGGCCCGCCTCTGTGACGTCACAATGAGGGCGTGGCCTCATTCCAAGGGGCGGGTGAATTACCGTGCCTGGCCAGCTCTCTCAGGCATTTTTAAACCCAGTACCTAGGGCCCAGCTGCTCCTTGCCCATTTGCAGGCGGGTTTTGGCATGTCCGGGCAGAGATAAGTACAGAAAGCGAGAGTAAGCCTTTAGGAATTTGGAGAGCAATGACAGCAGCACAACATCCAAGTGTGTGATTGTGGGCTTTTTTGTAAAAAAATCATATTTTGGCTGGGCATGGTGGCTTATGCCTATAATCCCAGCATTTTGGGAGGCTGAGGTGGGAGGATCATTTGAAGTCAGGAGTTTGAGACCAGCCTAGCCAACATAGTGAAACCCGTCTCTACCAAAAAAATACAAAAATTAGCCTGATGTGGTGGCGGGCGCCTGTAGTCCCAGCTACTTGGGAGGCTGAGGCAGGAGCTTGAACCCGGGAGGGGGAGGTTGCAGTGAGCCAAGATCATGCCACTGAACTCCAGCCTGGGCAACAGAGCGAGACTCCGTCTCAAAAAAAAAAAAGGACAGATATGGTGGCTCACGCCTGTAATCCTAGCACTTTGGGAGGCCAAGGCCGGTGGATCACAAGGTCAGGAGTTTGAGACCAGCCTGGCT